AATATCTGACGAAGGTAAAAGGAAGAGAGCATCCACTACAAGTTACAATGCAATTCTTAGCAAGAAACCAACACAAGAACTCAAGAAGTGACACAAGCAGCCAAAAAGCAAAGCTTTACGTATCAAATGGGTAGGCTATCGACACCTTTCTCTATAACCCCCCATTTCAACTGGAAACATAAATATATACAAAATGCCATCTTTGGCAACTATAGTTAGACTGAACTCCAATACTCGTTCCATTCAGTGCCACCAAGTTCCCAGACCAAAATCCTAAAAGCAAAACCACAATCCCAGTGGAAAGGTAATTGCTTTCCCCTTTCAATCGTATGAAACTAACACCACGCACAGTAACCCTTAAATAAAAAGAAACATAAACACGAGAGCTCTATTTAATACCCATTTCTCAGCTCACGAAATTATTTAAGCAAGGATAAGAAAGGGCGAAGTAAGCACCGGATAAGCATCAAGCGCACAGGGAGCAAGAGCCGTCCTTATGCAATCAATTGCAGCATCTCTCCCCTCTTCCGTCCCTTTCCTCAACAACTCGATGAATTTCTGAAAACCCAAAAATTGAAACCGAGAGAACTCGTCACTTACCTCAGCATCCAAATCCAAACCCAAACCAACCGGCAAAAAGAGAAAGCGAACCTATATCAGGAAAATAAGACGAGAGGCACAACATTTCAATTCAAATTTCTAAATTCTCTAACTGCAGCTAAATTTTCTTTCATACCTGCTTCTGCAAGCGAAATAGAACCCTGTGATCGTCGAGCACTGAAGGAGCGTGAGCTCGGAGAAGGTCGATTCCGGCGTCAATATCACCCGCCGCTAGGCACCGCCTGATCTGGCGAATGATCAGCCTGGAACGGTAGGACGATGAGGAGGAGGAGACGGAAGAGGACGACGGGGATGGAGGAGATGACGGCGAAGCAGGGGAATCCATCAGAGACTCCTGCGGCTGCTGCTCAATCAAAGTCTCGGATGTGGCGAAATCGACGACGAGGGCGTCCAGAGCTTCCCAATTCACCGGCGTAGTGTCGTCCATGTCTTCTACCACTTTCTCGAGAAAAAGTTATCGGCGGAAGAAGAAGGAAAGAAGTGAACTCGTACGATACTCTGTTAATTTGTCTTTCACCGTGCGCTCTCCTTTGCTTCTCTACCTCCACGGTATTTGGTGGTGTTTATTTTTTTCGGTTTATGGCATCGCAAGGTTCAGAAAGCAGGAAAGGCGGCGACGTAAGGTCTGGAATGGGGAAAGCGGATTAAGAAAATTAAAGGATGAATGAATAATTACTGGTTAATACCTTATTTTGGCCCGAACTATGACTATATAATCAACTTTGGCCCGTGGTTTCAGAAATTAACATCCTGGCCTCAACTATGCAGCATATAGACTCAATTGGCCCGACACAGTGTTTGACCATCAATTTGGACGGTCAACTCCGTTGACCGTTAGTCAACACGCCATGTCATTGCCTAGTCAGCCTAAAAATCATTAAAAAATTATTTATTATCAAATTAACAAAAAATAAATTATAAAAACATAAAATAATTTTGTTTTAAATTTTTTAGATAATTTGAAAATGATAAATTTTATAAAATAACCAAAAATTATCAAATTATTTATATTTTTAAAACAAACAAAAAAAAATAATTTATATCATAATTTTTAAATTTATAAAATTTAATTTGATAATTTTGGTTAATTTATAAAATTTACCATTTTCAAATATCCAAAAAAAAATATTTATATTTTTAGAATTTTATTTTTTTGGTTAATTGGAAAATGATAAATAATAGAAATTAGGAAAATAATTTGAATTTGAATTTGAATTTTTTTAATGATTTTTATGCTGACTAGGCAATGACATGACGTGTTGACTAACGGTCAACGGAGTTGACCATCCAAATTGACGGTCAAACTATGTGGCGGGCCAATTGAGTCTTTATGCTGCATAGTTGAGGTCATGATGTTAATTTCTGAAACCACGGGCCAAAGTTGATTATATGGTCATAGTTCGGGCCAAAATAAGGTATTAACCCTTACTCCAACCACCCGCTAAATTCTAGAAGAACTTGCAATCGAGTGCCGAAAATGCATGGTTCGTTTATAAATGTGACAAATTCGAGCTCGGCTTATTTATGAACGAGTCGAGTCGAATCGAATATGAGTATGCTCATTTATTAAATCTTGACTCATTGTTAGGATCAAAAGTTTTGCTTGATCTTAACTCTAAGATAATTTATAGATTAAATATTCTAATATTTATATGTCATATATGATATCTGTGATTAACTGATCTCATGTCATATATGAGACATATTTGCTCACATACTCAAAATATTAAAAAGGATAAATTACAATTTAATAAATCAATGCATCATTAACAAACCAACTCATAAGATATTGGATCGATTTTCACATAATTCATAGTCGAATTGGCTCGCTACTCAAAATGTTGAGACATCTCATGAGCTCAAAACGAGACAGTGCATGAGTTGAGCTCAACAAACCACTGAATCGAACTAATTCACGAACCTCATGAGTTGAACAAGTCTGAGCTCAAACTCAGCCTGTTAATAAACGAATCGAGCTTTTCTTGAATCGAACGAGATTTATCGAGTTGAATACCGAACCGCTAGCGAATAACTCGGCTCATTAACAACCTAGTTGGACCCCAGTGAATATATAGTTACCGTTACAAAGTTTACTGGAATGCTCTCGGTATGACTGATATAATAGATTTTCAATTTTAAAATATAATAACATCGTAAATTTAATTAACAAAAAATATATTTTTAAAATTTGAAAATTAAACGTTGATGTTATTTGTTGAATTCAAATATGAATGTCCAGATGCTTATGTTATATGTTGTGGTTTTGGATGTGTGTCGTGTGGACCTTCTCGGCCAGTAGGGTTACCAAACCCAAAAAACTCATTTTCTGCTCGTTCCAAGTACAGGTGTTTAAGTAGGGATGGCAACAAAACCCGAACCCACGGGTACCCACCCGACCCAACCCGGTCAACGCGGGTAAAATCCGTATTGACGGGTTTTGGGCCGGGTTTGGGTTTAAACCCGTTCACTATTCACCGGGTTGGGTTGGGTTTGGGTTTAGGTAAACCCGGCCCGTGGGTACCCGCTCACTCATATAATTAATTTTTTCGGTATATATTTAATATTCTAAACAACTATTCTTATTTATGTTTGTGGAGACATGTCTAATTTTTTCTTTTTAATAGTGTAGAATGAAGTTGATGTTATGGAGTGGAGACTAAAGAAACTTAATTGAAAGAAAGAAGCTTTCAATTAAACATGTTATTTATGGATAATTTGTGATTTGCTTCAATTTTCATGAGTTTTCTAGATTGGTGTTGAACAATTTGTATAGTTAATTTGTGATTTTCTTGAATTTTCTAGAATGGTGTTTTATATATGAATAATTTATATTGAGAGATTGATATTTGACTTTAATTTTGATAAGAACTTGTAATTGTAAATTTTTTACGACAAAACCCGTGGGTACCCATGAACCCGCGGATACCCAACGGATTGGGTTGGGTTTGAGTTTTTCAAACCCGGTGGGTTTTACCCCGGGTTTTTTTCAAAGATAAACCCATGGGTTTTAGTTTGGGTTTGGCAAAACCCGACCCAAACCGACCCATTGCAATCCCTATGTTTAAGGGGTGAGGCTTACAAGGGCCTTCCAAACTTTCATGTTGGTTCTGTTTGGAGGCTGATCGTTCCAACCAAAATATGCTCCTTCATTTGCCTTGTGGCACACAAGCGCATTTTCACCATCGACAATCTCAAGAAAATGGGCCTGTCTCTTGCGAACATATGTGAGCTGTGCAGCGAGGATGAGGAGACGATCAACCAGATCTTCATTCATTGCGGGTTCAATAAGGATGTGTGGGACAGGTTGAGGAGGGCTTGCGGCTCTCTAGAGACTCCGGTAAGGGACATCTTTGAAGTCATATCCAGGTGGCCAACAAACTGTACAGACGATGGCAAGCAAAGGTAGTTGCACGCAAGGCTCTCAGGGAGTGGTCTGTTGCTGGTGGAATAGTGGACAAATCACAAGGGATGCAATGCCTTGAAGAGATGCTTCAGAGGATCTAAGTGCAATGGTAGATGTTCTAAGTTTGAGTGATGGATGCTCGCTGTTGCTCTGTTTCTTTTTCAGGTGGTATGTTGGCTAGTGTGGCGCTGATTTCCCCAGACTTAGCTGTTGCCTATCTGGAGCATTCCTCTTCTATTTTTTTTTCCGGACGGTTGCAGTAATCTTTTGCTGCTCTGATCTTTTGTTCCTGGCATCTTCGACTTGGACAGCGTTTCAACGTTTTCTTCTTCGTTGGGAGTTGCTTTGCTGATTTTCGATGGTTTCTCTGGTTTAGCATCGGTTTTTTAATGGGTGGATAGGTTTCTGTGTCTGCTCACCTGGTTCTTGTTTTTGTTTTGCTCTTTAATTTTTGATTTTTGTGCTGGGGCTTTGTGCCTGGACCCTTTTGGCTGTAGAGGGGGTTTGGTCCTCCAAACAGCTACCTTCGCCTTTTTGTTTTCTTCTTTGGAGGAAGCTCCAAAGCCCACAAACATTTCCAACAATCGTCCATCCATCACCGTCATTGTGCAATTGCTACAAAAGTCAATCTTCATCACCGTCATTGTGCCCCTAACCCCAAATGCCAGCTTTGTGATGCGGAAAGGGAGACTCTGATCCACTGCCTATTCCTTTGCCCTCATGCAAAGGAGACTTGGTCAAAAGTGTGGCCTTCTTTCATCCCTCCGATCAATTTCAGCCACTGGTTCTTTTCATTGAGGACACCCCGAATGTTGACTCTCTTCGTCAAAAGCCTTTTTACCATTGGAATATCTGGAAAGCTCGTAACGACTTCATCTTTCGAGGCATCGCTTTGTCCCCCACGATGACCTCAATCCTAGCATATCGTGATGCTACTGAACCTGTTTATGGAGGATCCACCTCACCACCTACTAATATGCCTAGGGACAATCTTTTGCAATCTTCTCCACCGCCGAGTAATCCCATCAAGAGGATTCACTGTGATGGATCATTTGATAATGATTCACATGAGGCGGCTATTGGGATAGTTATTACTAATGCTCATGGACAGATTTGCGATGGACGGGCAGGTAGGGTCATTTGTTCATCCCCGATTGAGGCTGAGGCTCATGCTCTCTTGGAAGCATGCTCTTTGGCAAAACTTGACAGCTCCTCGACGATTATCTTTTCGAACTGTAAATCTCTTGTCGATGCCCTAAGTGGTGAGCCTTCATCGTGGCCATGGCGATGTTTTGCTCATCTTTCATCCATCGTTCATATCCTTAGAGAGGCGAATTGGATCAGCATCAAGTTTGTCAATCGCCAACACAACAAGAACGCGGATTGGGTTGCCCGTAATGCTCGTCTTAATACTCTCCCACCCAATTGGACCACGATCCTTAGCATTGTATCTCCCTTGTTGTAACCTCTCACCCTTTCGGGCTTGAATCAATGAAATTGCTATTCAAAAAAAAAAGCCTTTTTGTTTTCTTTCTTACTCGTTTGGGGATCAAGTCTTTTGATCTGGTTTTGTTGTTTTTCCTTTCCTTTCATTTGTTTACTCTTTGTTTTTTGGTTTCAATTTATTAATCTCGCCATTATTAAAAAAAAACAAGTATAAACTTTTAGATGTTGTATTTTATATATGAGAATTATTTTGTTTGGAATGTTGTATTTTATTTAAATATGGATGTAGTTTTTAGAGAGACTGTCTTCAAATATGATATATATATGACAAATGCTAGCGTACGCCTGGAGTACACTATACGCCTGTGTTCACACCTATTATTTATACTTTAATAATTATGATGAATCAAAACTGTTGATTGTCATTTCAGACTAGCGTACGCCTGACGTGTACGCTTACCATACCGGACTCCCGTCCATTTTTGTTATTTAGATCCTGAATTAGCCGGAGTTTGGGGCATGATACAATACCCTAACCTCTAATGGGTGAACACCAACCCCAATTTTCTAACCAAACCATAAGATTTATTTAATCTCAAATTATATGTGTGAACGCAGGCGTATAGCGTACGCCTGGTGTCAAGGGCATAGCCAGGATTTGTCGAGGGTGGGTACATTTAGAAAAAAGGGTAATGCCTATTTTTTATCCAAATCTTTTTCAGATTCTCTTATATTATCCAAACCTATCGAAATACCAAAAATTAGCCAAATGCTAACTTCCTGTTAGCAATTTTGTTAATAATATTGACTTAGCAACATGATACTGACTTGATGAAATTAATATCCTAGTAAGTGAATTCTTTGGGGAAAAAATGGTAGAGAGCGCTTTGTCCTCTCTCCTCATCGATGGTTGTTGTATCGTGGTCCTTAGCTTTCTCAACCTGCTCGTCTCAGGAGGGAGACTGATCTTTTCCAATCTACTCTACTGGTCTGCGAGGGATGCGATCAGAGAGCGAGCGGCGCCGGTTAGGCGGCTGGATGGGTGGTTCGGATCTGTATCCCGTCGGGCTTTTAGGGGTTTAATTGGAGATTGCGATTTGGAGCGGCAGTGGAATCCCGATGGGGGATGTGAAAGAATCTGGAGATTGGAGGGCCGGTCAATTAAAGCAACCGATTGCCGACCGCAGGTGGTGTGCAGGGAGAAGGCGGAAGCGGAAGAAACCCTCCGTCACCGGTAGTGCCAGGTACCGACAGAGGTGGGACAAAAAAAAAAAAAATAGGAAAAATAGGAAATGAAAAAGAAAAAAGAAATTGGTTTCGGGAAGGGAAAATCGATACCCAGCTACTGCGGGATTCTGAAGCGTCGATGAGATTAGGCCGTACAAGGGTTCCGCGCGGATAAGGACTCCTAGAGGGATACCTCCGTGTGCGCAAATCCTGGAAGATTGACTCAAATCAGGAGTCTGTTTATGAGATGGTGCTACGGTTGGCTCTCCAATGGGTGTATTTAACCACAACAGTGTTTAACCAAAATCACTACTCCACTACGGTGCCTAACATCAGAGAAAGTGATTGGAAGAAGAATTGGGAGAACAGTCCTGAAGCTAACGAAACTCAGTATCCAGGTATGGGATTCTTGAGGGAATTTGTGAATTATAGTTTGATTTGCTGGGGTGGTGTGCGAGATATGTCTGCGAAGGTTATGATGATGAATCGGGGTTTTTCGGCTTGGCGGTTATTAAACTGTCATCTTGGGCAGGGAATGTTGGGATGAGTTGTCCGACTCTTGTTTGGTGTATTTGATTAACAGGGATCAGGTTCTGCAGGGAGTAGTCATGGCGTTTTCATTGCTGAAATCGAAGAAAGGAAGCTCAGAGAAGGGAGCAAGCCTGAAACTGGTCCATGAAGACCAAATTGTGGACTTCCCAACAGAGGACGTCGAGACCTGTACGCGACGTGCAAAATCTAGTTTACTTGGCCGCTTGTTTATGGAATCTCGGCCGAGCCTCTCGGTCATCCTGCGAATTGTGCAGGGCTTGGACTTGTTCCAAGAATGTGGCTATCATGGAGGCTGAAGGCGGGCTGCTCCAGTTCCTGTTCGATGAGGAGGAGGACCTGGAGTGGGTTCGACAACGTACCCCCTGGCCCGTCAAGGATCGCTTCAGCTCCAAAGGTGGGAACCAGTCACGGGTACGGTGGTGAGTTCACGGGCTTTTGCGCCATTGTGGGTGCAGATGTGGGGAATCCCCTCACATTGCCGAACGGTGGCTTTTGGAAGGACTATGGCAGAAGCAAAGATCGGGGAAGTACTGGATGCAGGCCTGTTTGGCATTCGTGGTGAGGCGGGGACTTTTGTCAAGACAAGGCTAAAACTGAATGTCTTACAGCCGCTGCGATCGAAGCTCTATGCAAGGAACGAGGTGGCAGGGGAGTTCTGGGTCTATCTTACCTATGAATACCTCCCGCTACTTTGCTATCATTGTGGGCGGCTTGGGCACCTTGAGAAGAACTGTGGTTTCTCGGACCCGGAAGGAGATAAAGATTACGGGCCTAGAATGTCTACGAATGTTCTTGGTTATCGTCTAAACACGGAGGCGCCCGGTTTGGTCCACCATCACTACTGAACTCGGTTTGGATAAATCCAAACTTGGAGGGTGTTGCGAAAGATAAGAAGGACATTGCAAAGGGGAAAGGAAAGGCGGTGGCTTCGAAGCCACTAGTGGTGGGTATCTCGGCTGGGAAGAGCAAGGGTGGAGTGGATGGATCGAAAGGTGAGACGGGGGATCGTCGCACTAGTGGAGGTAAGGGGAAGGAGACTGCTGTAGTTTCCGCTAGAAAAGGGGGAAGGGCACCTATTGGTATTTTGAAGCCGGGCGGACAGGTAGTGGTGGCGGGTGAGGATGTAAGGATAGAGGGGAAAGAAGTGGGTGGCAAGCAGAAGGAGGCAAAGGGCGGCGCCAGCAGCAACACTAAGTAGCAGGTGAAGATGAACGGGATGTCTGATGTGAGGGAACCAAGTCTTGTCGTGGCGCCCAAGGCGGGGATGAGGCTGGCTAAAGGGAAAATTGATGGGGCAGCTGGCGGAGAAAAGGAGGGCTCTCCTCGAGTGGAAAACAAGACAGTTCAGCAACAAGAGGGCGCGAGAGATGGATCGCTAATGGAGCAAATGGTGGTCTCAACCACAGATTTGTTGAAAAAGGCAACGATGAGTCTTAAGCTTGATGAATATGGCACAAACCTGTCGGAGGTGTTTCGCATGAAGGCTTCGAAAATGGAGATGGGTGATGAGAAGAAACGGGGCGGAAGTTGAAAACTTGTCATTGGATCCGACGCTGGTGAAAAAGGTCTGTGTCCAAGACTCAGGTGGTGGTGTTGGTGCAGCGGTGGAGGTAGCCAGCTCGAAATGGCCCCAATCGCTCAAATGAGGATTTTGTCATGGAACGTGAGAGGTATAGGGACCACTCTCACGCTCCAGTCATTGATTGGTCTTGTTCGTTCTAATAATCCATATTTGTTTTTTTTTTGTCGGAAACGAGATCTCGTCGTCGTGTCGTAGTGCGTCGTATGAGACGCTTAGGTTTCTCGTCGGAGTCGTCTTTTTTAGTTGATGCTGTTAATTCTTCTGGGAGTTTAGCTGTGGGCTGGTCCCTGAATGTTAGTGTCTCATTCAGTTGTAATGACTCTTTCTTTATTTCGGTTACTATTAATTAAAAAGGTTTGCAGTATGTTGTGGTGTGTGTGTACATTAGTTGTCTGGCTGCGGTGCGTCGAGCCCAATTGATAAGATTGCAAGATTTTTGTTCGGCGTTGACAAATCCTTATATTGATAGGTGACTTTAATTCCGTTCTGAACTCCAATGAAAAAATGGGAGGAAATGCCTGGTATCCGGCGCAGCCAGAGGACTTGCGATATTTTGTGGATAACTTGGGTTTGCAGGACCTAGGGTACCAGGGGTGTCCTTTCATGTTGACCAACAAACGAATGGGAGATGCCTGCGTGATGGAACGTCTTGATAGAGCCCTTGGGTCTCACCTCTGGATGGATGCTTTCCCGACCTCTTTGGTGAAGCATTGTACCGATCAAGGGTCGGATCACAGGGGGATCTTAGTGGCGGATAAACCGTTTGTGAGGAGTAGTCGCCCGCTCTTTTGTTTTGACGCCCGTTAGGCGGAGAATTCGGAGGTGCGACTGTTTGTCCAGTACGTCTGGAACCAGGAGGAACGGGGTTCCCCAATGTATAGGTTGTGGCATCGGCTTAAAAAGCTTCGCCACCTCCTTTACGATTGGAGTCGGGCCGGCACGACGAATTCGGCGAGGGCAATTAGAACTTTGCAAACTGAGATTGATGCATTTCGGGCTATGGCCCCAGTGGATTGGGATAGAATACAGGGTTTGGAGGTGGAGCTGGCTAAGCAATGGGAGGCAGAGGAAATTTTTTGGCAGCAAAAGTCGCGGGTTAGATGGCTCAAGGTTGGGGAGCGGAATTCCTCGTACTTCCATGTTGTAACCCGGACTAGGCGGAAAAAGAATTTCTTGAAAAAATTGCAGAAGTCTGATGGCGAGTGGGCGACAGAGGAGAAGGACAAGGCGGATTTAGCCATTGGGTTCTATAGGCATCTGTTCACGTTAGATGATTCGGTGGAGGATATGGCTACACGTGTAGCGGCCTTACCCATCCCTCAGCGGGTTACGGAGAGTATGAATGACGAACTGGTAGAAGAGGTTACTTTGGAGGAAATCCGCCGGATAGTGTTCTCAATGGGAGCGAAGCAGGCTCCAGGGTCGGATGGCTTCACTTGGAAGTTTTACAGGGTGTGTTGGGATATTGTGGGTCCTTCGGTGATTGAAGCTGTACGCTCGTTTTTTCAGAATGGGCGTATTTTGCAGAGCTTTAATCATACATGGCTCACATTGATTCCTAAGGTGGAGGATGTGGAGCACGTTCGCCAGCTTTGGCCGATTAGTCTATGCTAGTTTGTGTATAAGATAATCACCAAAGTTATGACATAACGGTTAGC